TTTTTTTTGGCCTGCCGATATTCTTCGAGTCCGTTCACTTTCTGGCTTCGTTTATCTGTAATTTGTAAAGAAGTCCTAATCCTTTTTTGTAGACTTCTTACATCGTAATTGTATATTATTTCTTTTGGATGATAAAGATGCTTGTACAATATTAATTAAAGGTGTATATTTAAGTATAGATTAGGGGAGAGAAGTCACTTTCTTTGATGTTTACAGATAGAACCCTCAGATACTTTATGTTGCATCTCTCTTTGAACATTTGATAGGAAACAGCACGGGCTCTTTGTCTTGCTTCCTTAATCAGATACAACAATACTCTTCCTTATCCGTACACAGAGGACTCCCTCTTCTCTCTCACTATCTCCCCCTTGTCTCTCTCTCTAAACGGCAAAAACCCCACAAAAGGTATCAAGTTTTTCAACTTTTTTCCCGAAATCCAGAGATGACCAACGGCATGGAAGTTGATGATGATCAAAACCTGCATGCAGTAGAAGATATGGTGGCTGATGATGTTCCAAACCTTACTGGTTTTGATGCTATTGAGGAAGAAGAAGTGATGGGTGTTGTTGAGAAAGGGATCTGGATTGGAAATGAGCCCCAAAGTCTGCTTGATGTGAATGATTCTTCGATATTCTACAATGATTTTCCTCTTCTTCCAGATTTTCCATGCATGTCTTCCTCTTCATCGTCTTCGTCTAATCCGGCGCCAACGAAGCCGATTGCGTCTTCTTCTTCTTCTTCATCAGCATCGTCGTCTTCGGCAGCTTCATGGGCGGTCTTGAAGTCAGAAGCAGAAGATGATCACGACAATCATCACCACAACTACGGCTGTGATCAGATGGACGCACCACCGGCTGCGCTATCCTCCACCGACTCCATGGAGGCGTTACCTCCAAACGACGACGGAATCGGAGATATCGATTGCTTGGACGTGATGGCGAATTTTGGGTACATGGATCTGATTGATAGCAATGATTTTTTTGACCCATCTTCAATTTTCCAGAATGAAAATCCACTGGAATTTCAACAAGAAGAAAAGAAGCCACAGATAGATCAATCACAGCAAGACCCATCACAGCAATGTCCTCAGGAAAATGATGAACAATACATGTTACCGGACAAAAAAGAAGTTGAAGAAGAGAAATCTGTAGATGAACTGGGCCGTGTGTTCTTCGACTGGCTCAAGTCCAATAGACAGTACATTTCTGCCGAAGATATGAGGAATATAAAGCTAAAGCGTTCAACTATAGAGAGTGCTTCTAAACGCTTGGGAGGTTCAAAGGAAGGTAAGAAACAGTTGTTAAAACTCATTCTCGAATGGGTGGAACAGTACCAATTACAGAAGAAGCGGATGAGAGAAGCATCATCCCAATTTCCCTATCAATGTCGAGAAACTTTTCAAAACCCTAACCCTAACCCTAGCCCCGGCGCTAATTTGAACTGTACTTCTGTTACTCCTGATCCTAACAGTTGTTTCTCTCCCTCCCAGTGGATGGCACCTCCGCCGCCTTACGTTTCAGACCCTACCACTGGTATGGCGGCCTCGCAGGCGTATTCTCCGATGCTTGGATATGTTGGTGATCCATATTCTAATGGAGCTACTGTTCCTTCGATGAGCCAAACAATCAATGGCCATCCTTATCCACCTTCAACAGAATATCAAATGCTAGACTCTGCTCAATCTTGGACTCCTTCGCAGCTTGCAATGGCTTCTCAGTACAACCCATTTCCGGATAACAATACCAATCTCTCTCCAAACACTCCTCATCCCCTAGCTTTGGCGGGTTATGGCAATCAATACCCATATCAGGTTTATAATGCAACTGGTGAGAGATTTGTGAGTCTGGGTTCTTCTGCAACTAAAGAGGCCAGGAAGAAGCGGATGGCTCGGCAGAGACGGTTTTCGTCTCACCATCATAGGCATCATCATAACCATAACCACCAAAACCATCCTCAAAATCAGACTAATGAGCAACATGCCGGACTTGGGGGTGACAATTGCACCAACACAAGTCAACCCAATTCAGGCAATTGGGCATACTGGTCTTCTGCTGCTTACACTGCTGTTTCAGCAGTGCCTGTGATGCTGCCTGGGGATGCACATGCACCTCAGCCACCTCCGATGGATCGGCCACCCATGCAAGCATCAAACCATCAGCGGCCATCCTTATCGGAAAAGCGACAGGTGCGTTTTGGCCCTTGATTGTCTTAATCAGTTCATTGGGATAAATAAGCAGAGATTAACAACTGTGCCTTGCCTCGATTGTTTTTGAGGTTGGTTATATAATCGTTGTGCCATTCTATTCTATCAGGAATAATAATTTCAGATAATCGACACCCTATCCTATTGCTGTCTCATTCAGTTTCAATTTCGATCCACCTCTAACCATGGCAATGCCATTGACACAAAAAGAATAAGCATAGCTAATTTATCAATTGTATTTTTGTGGTTGTGTACGTATAGGGCTGGAAACCCGAGAAGAACTTGAAATTTCTGCTGCAGAAAGTGTTGAAGCAGAGTGATGTTGGTAATCTGGGCAGGATAGTGTTGCCAAAAGTAATATCTCAATCTATCTACGTTCATGTTTTCCTGTTGCAATATGATTTAAATAAAAATTCTACCTTTGTGTTGGGCAGTTAGGATGTAATCATTATATTTGATTGATAATTGCTTTAATCAATCAGAAAGAAGCAGAAACCCATCTTCCAGAACTGGAATCAAGGGATGGCATTCCAATTGCCATGGAAGACATAGGAACTTCTTGTGTCTGGAACATGCGCTATAGGTGTATACAAATCAAATCCCAACACTGATTTATAGCCCTTAATTTTCATGGTTGACAATTTTTTCTCATTTTTTTTCAATGGGATTTCAGATTTTGGCCGAACAACAAAAGCAGGATGTACCTCCTTGAAAATACAGGTACCTATTTGATTTGAGATATTTATTGTTATAGAAAATTTCCTCTGATAAATCAATTTTTGTTCTTTTAGGAGATTTTGTTCGAGCAAATGGACTCCAGGAGGGCGATTTCATAGTGCTGTACTCAGATACTAAATGTGGAAAATATGTATGGACATTTTCCAGTTTTTCTTCTATATTCTTTGTAGCTTAAAGTGATTTATTATGTTATCAATATACAATTGATGAATGATGCAGTTGATAAGAGGAGTCAAGGTAAGGCAACCAGGACCAAAATCTGAAGGCAAGAAGCCAGCAAGGAGAAACTTGCGCAATTCATTCTCGACCGGGAATGGCTCTTCCTCTTCACCCATTAAACCACCAGTGAATTAGAATCAACCCACAGAACAAACCCGTGTTATAGGAACGGGCAACTGGTTGGTTGGTTCCTTGTAGTTTGATCATTTGGACTTTTTATTTTCTGGGTTTTCTTCTTGGCTCCTTAAGCTACTGATTACAATGGGCTAAACAATTTGAAGAGTTTCACACCATCGGACAGCACAGTAGTAACGCTTTCTCGCTTTTGCTGGCTTAGCTTGGGGTCAGTACTTGGTTGCAGATCTTAATTATAGATTATAGAATGTGCAAGTTGTATGTTTTTGAGGTTTGTTATGTAATGTAGTGTGTACGTCATAATCTATCCTTATTATACTTTGGCTATTCGATATGAAATNAGGTTTGTTATGTAATGTAGTGTGTACGTCATAATCTATCCTTATTATACTTTGGCTATTCGATATGAAATGTTAATTTGTGGGGTAAGAATTTCTAAATTTACATAGTGGGTGGAGTATTTTGGGGCTTTTCCCATTATTTTTACTGCAGTTTGAGTTGATGGTGTGCATGGTTTCATTAATTATTACACCCCCATAAATTTTTCAGGCTGGGTAGTTCTTTTCCCTTCCTTTCACAAACTTCTTTAGCAAAGTACGATTGTCATTTGCCACCAGCTCTACCTTGATCATCTCCAGAGCCCTTTTTCTTTAGCAGTAAAGTGATGATGTTAGCCCTTTTTCTTTAGCAGTATATTAATGATAACATCGACTATGATTATCTAACAGTGTCAAGTATAGTTGATTGATATAGTTGAAGTGCAAATAAAATATGATTTTTGGGGATGAAATTTGTAGCGTCAATCTATACAGTTTTATCATTTTTTCTAATTTCTTCCCTAGTTGAGTATGAAAGAACAGTTTTATCGTTTTTCTAATTTCTTCCCGAGTTGAGTATGAAAGATTGCCCACAGAGGATCCAAAGCAAAAGATTGTCTGCGGAGTAGGATCTGAAGCGGCGACTATTATAAGAATGAAATATTCCAAAGTATTCACTTCTGAAAGAATTTAAACTAATTATGCTACACATGAATGGTTGGAGGAAATCTCCTATAAAACACTTCTAAAAGAATTTGAACTACTTATGCCACATTTGAGTGGTTGGACGAAATCTCCTAGTAACCATGACAGGTCGCCCATCGTTGAAAGAAATTGAGGAAAATATTTTAGAGACGATGCTCCCCCTTTTTTTATCCTTCAATTTTTGACAAACTTAAAATCACTCTTGACATGGAAAGAATGATTAGCTGAAGACCAACAAGAAAATGCATCAAGGAACAAACAAATGGACTCTCAGAAGCATGAAAGTTCTTGTCTCACTAGGGTAGCTATTATCTTTTTGAGTCATTAATTACCATTTACCAATTTGTGTATTGTTTTGGTCTTATATATCTTTGCTCTTCCAAAATGAGCGTGGTAGTTCTCCTTAGAGGTTGTGAAAGAGGCAAGTATCAGAAGAGAACCCTTGGATTAACCACTGTGCATAAGGAGGAGGTTTTGTGCGTAAACTTAGATTAATTACTAGCCACGGGTTCAAATGAATTCCGTTGGAGGGAGTTTTTGTTCTGAATTTAAACACAGACATAAATATTTATCATCATATATACTCCAAAAAAATCAAAATGAATTAAATTGATTGCTCTAATTACAGTTTCAATTCCCATCTCTGCCATTGTCAGCCATATCTCAGAACTCTCTCTAACATTCTAAGCTCTTTAGTTCTTTATAAATATGAGAAAGGGGCTAACACGCATTGAAGAAGAAAGAAAGAAAGAAAACAAAAGAAAGAAAAAAACTGAAACTTTTTGTTTTCTCTAGGCCCACAGACTTTTACTTTCCCATTCCTTTGATGCGTGAAGACAAAACAGGGTTGCGTCGTCTACAGCACTAAGCGCGCATAACAACAAATATATGATGACACAATAGTTGGTTCGTAGAAAACAAGATTGATGACAGAGATATTTTGTTGTGATGGCAGCTTCAAGTTCAGCAAGTAACTCCAAAGGCACTGCATTTCATACTAGGAGCAGCTTCAAATAAGGTATCTCTTCTTCTTCGCCTTGAAGAGAAGGAAACAAATAGATCAGACTTTGAAACTTTTTTATTATTGGGTTTTTAAATTCCGAGTCAAGCATGAAGTTGATGTCTGAGTAATTTCGTGACTCGTAACATGTTTGTGAATTTGCCGCAAAGAAAAAAAAATGCACAATCATGTTTTTTATTATGTATAACATTTATAGCAACTCATGTCACCATCTATAGAAGTAGATCCACTAAGTACTTACTCCTTTTTTTTTTTTAAAATGGTCAAGAATTGACGCATTTACGCATGGTTCGACTAATTTTTTTCTCGGTTTGATCAAAGTCTGATCAGAGGTAAGTTATTCATGTCGGAATTAGGGCATTCATAAAGGATAAATCTTATTCAAGACATTTGAATTTACCATCTGTCTTTATTACCACTTGAATTATTTCTTATTAGTTTTGCCAATCTTTTTCCTTTTTTGTTTTATTTGCATGATGAGAATTTCCAGAGCTTTGGGCTGCTTATCTACGCCACTTCATGTAATTCTTTGTCTAAAGATGAAGACGACAAAACTTAATGTTGCCAAATCCTAAAGAAACCAAGCAACCCGAAAACTTTGAAGGAAATTAGTATTTTATAGTATGATGACGAATGGAGAAAGTATTTGTAGTGATACATATTAGTAGTTCAAGAATACGTATAATGATAATATTGTTTGTTAAAGCAAGTGATGTATGAACGAAGATGAAAGAAAAATATTGAAACTGGGGAAACTTGATAGGAATAAGGATCCTTGTACATATACTTCAATGAAGCAAGAAGAATATAAAAGAAAAAATGTAAAGGTTTTGAATATTATTACGAGTCTATACAGAAGATTAGGATAATAAAATGCGAGATTGGGAGAGTCTAATATACTTATTTTAATTTTCGCTTGTGAAAAAACTATTTTCATAGCTCAAACTCATAACACTCCCAATAATATAATTTTATCATTGCATTATGTTTTGTTATAAGGATACAGCAGACTTAAATGGGGGCTAAACTGATCCACATGGGTAACGCATCCGGTATCTTTAGACTGGCTATTGGGGTCCTTACTAGGCTCAAAAATAGTGGTTTTCTTTGCCACATAATGCACCTATTTTATATACTTAGCACTCTTGCGGAGTAAAAGGCCAATTGTAAACGGGTAGTTCTGTTAATTGAATAATTTGATTCACATAGGCCGATACCGAAACAAGTTGGCCTACCTCCGAAATGATATCATTGCACGATACGTATAAATTCTGACTCTCGCACAACTCGGTCAAGTCGTCGGAGTTATATCCGAGTCGATCTCAAGTCGCCGAAATATCATCACCGAATCAGTCGATATGGTTCTGCAATGCCGCGATATAACTTGAATCTCTCATCATGTTCAACAATTTCTTTTAGGTCGTACGACTGATACTTTGCCACTACGCCGCGACCAATATGTTTCGGACCTCTCTCAGATGGCATACAACTCACTTTACATTTTGTTTCCTTGAAAAAGATAAGTTCGAAGTCAAAAATTTGCATTGCATCAACCATTCTGCTTATAATTTCAAATCCAGATCAATTGTTTCCGACTGTTCTACATCCTATTGACTTACCTTTTCTTTTACATAAACAACTTGAGAAAAAGGCTAAAAACAAATTCAATCTTCATAAACTTTTTATTCAAAAGAAGCTACATGAATGACAAATTTTTCAAGTTTTGCAAGCCTAGAATAATTTTCCCTAGTGCCTATTTGAAAGAAATTTTGGCACTGGATGACGAAGATCATAGCAGTGAGGATGCAGAAAAGCTTGAGCTATTACTTTGCAAGTACAAGCACTGCTTTTTTGACGATGCCTCTCCACCAGAACTCTTATTTTCTTCTCCATCATTTGCCTGAGAGCCTTTGAAAAACATGTCAACCTTCTCAGACTCCTCTCTCTCCTGCCTTATTTCCTTGAGCATAGCCGCCACATCCTTCATGGTAGGCCTATCCTCAGGGGAAGGATTAACACAAAGCAAAGCCACTCCTAAGGTTTGCACCATCGACTCAATTTCGGACTCAGGGCGGGAACGTAAGCTGGGGTCTAATACCTCAATACCACTTTTTCTGTGCCTTACCCAGTCTACAATGTGCTGCCCATCTGGTATGGTAGGATCAATTGGTTGCTTCCCTGTCAACACTTCTAACATGACAACACCATAGCTGTACACGTCACTCTTCTCTGTGATCTTCATCATATATCCATACTCTGTACTACAAGTGAAACAACATTTGTTAAACGAATATGTTGTTGTGACAAACAAGAATCAGCTAGGCTGTTAGGCATTGAGAATTAATTGATTCATGTATGATTGGTGTAAGAGTTGAATACTCTTTGGGATTATCAATATGATTCTGCTTGAAAATTTCAAATTTTGGTATAAGAACACTGAAAATATATGATATTTTTGGAGAATTGACCTGACCTGGAGCTATGTAACCGTAGGAACCAGCAATAGTACTGGATGATCGAGCAAAATCTCCATCATCAACTAGTTTGGCAAGCCCAAAATCAGCAATGTATGGCTCAAAATCCAGACCAATGAGAATGTTGTTGGCCTTGATGTCCCTGTGAACAATGGGAGGAGTACAGTCATGGTGTAAATAAGCCAAGCCTTGAGCTGCCCCCAAGACAATCCTATACCTCAAGTCCCATTCCAAGCAACCACCACTTCGTTCATGAAGGAGACTGCCTAAGCTCCCGTTAGGCATAAAATCATACATTAGCAATCTTGTGTTTTGATTCCAGCAGCAACCCAAGAACCTAACAATGTTTTTGTGACGGATTGAACCAAGGGTTTTTACCTCAGTAGAGAAAGAATCACGAACTCCTCCATTAACTCCTAACTGGTCATTTTGACAGCTATATCTAGATGCCATTGCCATTGGCCATAGCTTCTTCACTGCAATGACTTCATGATTTTCCAGTTCTGCACGATAGACAATCCCTGAACATCCTTTTCCGATCACATTGGCTTCCACTAGACATCTTAGAACTTGCTCAACTGTGAAATTCAGCTTTTGGAATGGAGTGAACTGCCAAGGCAGGAAATCCCCTCCAATTTCGGAATCATTATCTTCTTTAGTCTTTTTTCTAACGTGAAAAACTGCTAATGTCCCAAGAATTGCCAATGCTATAGTCACAATAATGAGGAGCGCAATGGCAAGTTTGAGACTCCTAGACTCCCAAACATCCTTATTGCTTGGCATCCCCTTTCCTGCAGCATTGCTCAAGAAACATGAATCATGGCCCCAAGGACACAAACCTTGGTTTCCAGACAGGTCTGTAGCTGATAGCTGTCTGAACAGCTTGTTGTCAGGGAGATAGCCAGTAAAATTATTGCAGGAAACATTCAGGGACACAAGGTTTTCAAGCCCGGCAAGAACCATCAAATCTCCTCCAAGTTTATTGTGTGAAAGGTCAAGTACTGATAGCTTGTTTAGAGCCGATATCTGCGGAGGGATTTCCCCGGTTAAAGCATTCCAACTCAAATTAAGAGCAATGTCAAGAGCCTCAATTTTAAACAGCTCCACTGGGATGGTGCCAGAGAGCTCATTGCTGCTAAGATCAAGCAATTGAAGACTTGAACAGCCGCCAAGCAATGAGGGGATCGATCCAGATAAGATATTTCTACCAAGTAGGAGTCTATTTAAGGAAGTAAGTTGGCCATAACTTACTGGAATCTGACCCACAAACCTGTTCCCAGAAAACTCCATTACTTGGAGCTTATTGAGTGAAGATAGAGAGCCTGGCAAGGTGTCTCCAAATGTATTATTACTCAGGTTCAGCATTTGCAGTTCTGTGCAATTGCCAACCTCATCTGGCACTGATCCATTGAGATTGTTATTGGAGAGATCAAGAAAACTGAGGTTGTCTAAAAGCCCTATTTCGTTTGGAATTCGTCCACTAATTTTATTATCTACAATTCGGAGCCGAATAAGAGAGCTACAGTTGCCCACCTCTCGGGGTATGGGACCCGAAATGCCATTGGAAATCAAGAGAAGCTTTGTTAGATTTTGAAGCTGAAATAGGCCAGGAGGTAAGCTACCTGTAAGGGAATTGTGTGATAAATCAAGAGCTTGGAGGCTTCTGCAACCAGCCAATGCTGATGGAATGCTTCCCTCAAGTTTGTTCTCCCAGGCAAAGAAGACTGTTAGCTCTGTCAACATCCCAAGCTCTTGTGGAATGGAGCCCGATATCTGATTGGTATCTACCTGCAACTGCAACAGGTTTGTGGCATTGGAAAGTACTGGTGGGATTGACCCAGAGATGTTATTGTTACTAATCATCAACTCTTCAAGCTGTGTGAGGTTTCCAAAGGACCCAGGTATGCTTCCTGAGATAAAATTCAATGATACATCAATAATCCTCAGGCTTCTGCAATTACCAATTTCCTCAGGAATAGTCCCAACGAGATTGTTTTGCCATAGTAACATCTTCACTAGCTTCTGCAGCTTGCCTAACTCTGGTGGAAGTGAACCTGAGAGACTATTCTCATACAAATACACGTCGACAAGCCCAGAACAGTTTCCTAAATCTGGGGGTATTTCACCCGATAACATTGTAGTATAAACTGACAAAGTTTCAAGCTTGCTTAATTTACCCAATGACGCAGGAATAGCACCAGAAATTTTAGTATCAGCAAGACCTACTACCTTCAAATTCTGGCAGTTTCCAAGCTCATCTGGAATCTTCCCAGAAATATTTTTGTTCCCTCCAGCTCGTATAACCTCCAAATTCGAAAGTTTGCCTAGTTCAGCTGGAAGATCCCCACTGAACTGATTATCGAATAGAATGAGATATATAAGGCTAATGCAATTACCAAGCTCTGCTGGGATTTTCCCAGTAAACTGGTTCGAGTTCAATGTCAAGTCCTGGAGGCTTTGAAGCTTTCCAATGCTTGTTGGAATACTGCCCATAAGACTGTTTGAACTGACATCAATGGCTGTAAGTGAGGTGCTGTCTCCGATGTCTAATGGAATGGTTCCAGTGAGATTGGCTCCAGAAATAGTGAGGCTTTGAAGGTAGTTAAGAGATGAAAGGTTGGATGGGAATGGAAGAGCAAGCTCAATGGACTGAATATTGATTTGGATGACAAAGTTTTCAGGGGAACATGTAAGGTAGGACCATTTACAAGGGTTGGGGTCTGATGGGTTCCAGTTTGAAAATGAAGAATGTGGTGAAGGAGAACTGTGAAGCCATGAGAGAAGGACAAGAACTTCATTATTTGCTGATGAAACAACACTTGTTACAAGTGTAAGCAATAGGAGGAGACAGTGGTGGAGAAGGTGGCGGTGGTGGTTTTTGTTGTTCAAGGATTGCCTCGGCATCGGCATTTGCATTGGCCTCAAATCCCAGAACACTCTTCTTGGGTTTGCATTGGGTCTCCCTCTTTCTCCGTAGTTTTTCTTGCACTCACTCTTGTTTTGCTGCTAATGAAATTAGTCTAATAATACTACTACTCCCTAGCTTTGCAGGCAAGCAAGAAAAGAAGAGACAACGAAAGAGGTAACAATTATTAAAGATTAGCACCCACCTCTACCTGCACCTCCATCTTTTACCTCGGGGTTCTGTTCTGTGCTCTTTGTTTTCTCCTATTATATTTTGAATAGCAGTTACACCATGTGTTCTTGCATTGTTTTCCTCAATACAGTCAATTCTAGCAGTGGCTCTTGTTATTGATGATTGAAAACCCATTCCTTGGAATTCCAAATAAATATTTTTAGATGATTTACTGGAAAATGAAATTTTCTAGAAAAACATGTTTCCATGAGCATTTTCCATCCATAAAACTCCTTAAACACAGACCATTCTTTGGAAACATTGAATTTTTGGGACATGGGTTTCTTATGTTTTCGTAGCACTTAGTTATGTTTATGCATATTGATGGGACTTTTTTGAAATACTCCAAGATGATGACACGTGTCTTCGGCGTCACTAAAAATCCTGTTACTGAGATCACGTACCATCGGCTTACAACTCCCTCGCCCCCGAGGTACTTGACACATGGTCAAGTACGTTTTACGAACCGACACGTATCCCTCGGTCTGATGAGGTACCTCGGTCGTCATGTACAGCTCCCCTCGGCTCGAGATATACCTCTCCTCGGTACCGAGATGTACCCCCGTCCAGGATGCCTTTTCTCTGCTCCAGTATAAGTTATTGATGTACAGGTCATTAGCATAGGCTAGTCTAGGTTAGCTATTATGGTCTCGTCTTACACAATTGGTGTCAGAAAGCAAAGGAAGGCAGGATCCACAACCAATGAGGGATGGAAGCGTGGCAAATTGTGTCACATCAGAGACAGAAAGACCGCATGCCCTTGCTAACACGCGACTTGGAAAAGCAAATATTTAATTACACCATTCCCTTGATGAGACTGCATTCAATGCGGTAAGGCTCGGAATTGAAAGGCAATAAATATCTCTAAGGCTGAACATTTATTGCATCCTCCCCGAGTGGAGCTCATTGGACAGTCGGTAGCCCGATGACACAACATTGATTGCTCGGGACTCCGATCAGTTAAAGAAGAGAAGACATTCCTCATCAGAATCAGTGCGCACACTGCCTGTACCTAATGATCACTTACTGACAACACTGACAGCAATCATGAGCTTTTGAGGTATAAATACTCCTCGTAAAAGGCAAGACGGTAGGCAACAAAAACTCTTTACTACGAAATATACTCAGTGCTTTCTTCTTCCTCTCCCTTTCAAAAACTGACTTGATCGTCAGAGGGGATAAGCCGGAAAACACTCCGGCGCCCTTCTAACTTGTTTTTCTTTGTTCTAGGAACCTTTCTCCAGCTTTATTGGAACGTTCCTTCAATCCACGAGGGTCTCCCGTTGCCGTTTCTGGTTACCACCGGACCTCACAGGCTGTCCCAAGCAGTGTGGTTGACCACTCAACTGACTCACTCGAGTTCATCAAGGGAGAGATCTGTTCTTGTTTTTTATATTGTGCAAGATCCTGCACGCACACATATCTATGTTTTTTTTTTTCCATGGAAACAAAATCAAGGAAAAAGAAAAAAAAATCTTAGAAAACTAATGAGGCTATTAAAAAATTCATAGAAGAGAAGTTTTTTTTTTGGTTACTGTTTGTAACTTCTAGTGGGAAGGCGGTCGATAAGGTTTGAATTCGCGACTTAACAGTCCAACGGCGGGCTGTAGAGCTATTTGGCCACCGCTGATCCTCCATAGAAGAGAAGATGAATAAGGCCAATTTTGTGTTGAGCCTCCTGTTCAGATTAATTTAGTCTGCCGATGTTTAGCCTCATGCATATGAAAAAAAAATGGCTTAGTACACAAAACAAATGGCACCGTCCATTGTCCTGCTCTGTTTGAACTTCAACAGTATGTTAATTGTTATATTGACCGATTGGTAAACATAGATATTATAAACAAGTTAAATTCATATTACACTAGTTTCTATCTTTGACAATCTAATACTCGAATTTGTTATTACAAAGTTTAGGGATGGTCAAATTTTCATTATCTTACCCTAATTATAAACTTTGTTTCAGTAATTCAAACTCGTAATTTTTGTATTGTTTTAGAGTGATCATTTGGTTTTGGCTATATGAAATAGAAACATTAATTTGCAACAAAATAATTCACCAAGTTAAAAGCTCAAACAACTAAGTCAAGGTGTGCCAGGGAGATATGTTTGGACCTCTCTAGACCTTCCCTTTAAGCTAAAGACGGATTTGTAGGGAGTAAATAGAATACTGATAATTAAAACATCATTCCAGCTTTTAAGGCTAAACCATGTGGTGTATCAATTCATTTTCTACCATAGCCTTGACTACACTAGCCCCCTTTTTGCGTAATTTAATGGAATTAAGACTAAAGAACGAATAACTCCAAGGAGTATCTCCGGTTATAATAGAGACGAATGTAAATATAAACGTTTTGAGTTTAAATTCTGACAATTTTTTAATGTCAGATTATGAGAAATTTATCTCTCATGAATATTTTAGTCTTGGCGTGAATGACTTGCATTTGATCGGATCTGGGAGGAGATTAATCAAGCTTATAAATACCCTAGTTCTGACGTAGATGACTTGTCTTGGTCGGACCAAAGGGGATATTAGTCGAAATGTGTGTAAGCTGGCCCGAACACCTTAAACCATTAAACAAAAAAAAAACTAATGAATTAATACTTATCAAAAAAAGAAAAAAAAATTAATGAAAGGATATACTATTCAAGCTCACAAAATTAACTCTTTTTTTCCACTTTAAACACCGTTTTGCTAGAAAAAGTAAACACATTTATCTTAAGAAGTAGACTTAGATCATATAGGTTGTTAAACGATTCGAATAATTCGGCCTCTAATGGATGTTAGCTAATTTTTGCTTGTTCATATTGCAAAATGAGCAATATCAAATCGAATTTTTAAACTCGTTTTCAAAATGAGTCAAATTCAAGTAATATATGACTTTGTTCGAATAGAATTTTTACTCAAAATCATTTTATTTTTACCCATCTTACCAAACAATTATTATTTTTATGAAAACGTGTTTTTAAAATATTTAGTGTTGTTATTTTTATTTTTTTTTACATTGAAAGTGTATTTTGGAAACAAGTTTTCATAAATTCAACAATATATTGATAATATAATTGAAATTATGTTATTTTGGTAAAAAATATATATAAAAATAAAAATTAATTCCAAAAATATGGAACCAGAATAGGTGCATAGCAGAGCCCAGAGTTCTAGGACATGACCTTGGGAACCTCCAACCAGGGAATCTACTCTACACGTTGTTTTGTTTTGACAAAAACCCTAAAGAATTTTTTCTTCCATTGAATCCATCTCATATTTTTCTTTTTTTTTTTTGGGTAAATGAAATGAACTCTTGCAAATTTATTAACTTCCCAATGGCTTTTTTTTTTTTTTTTAATCCTGACCAAAAAAAAAAATGGCTTTTTTATTGATAGTAGTAGACTAGTAGGATTTAACTACTTGACTCGATTCGCTCAATGAAAGGATTGTATTATAAATAATTTTTGTAGTACTGTGTATCTCAAATGATTCTCGTTGATTTGAGATGCAAATTTGAGTTACAAATTTAATATACATATCATTACTCATAATTTTTTGATGCAGTTCTACAAAATCCTATTTAAAACCCTAATTTTAGTTTCCATAGATCCTCAAATTGCAAACCTCTTAAGGTTGTCTTTCTCCTATCCCAAGGCTCGGTGTGGGTAAAGACAAAAAAATAAAAAACATAAAACAAAAATTACAGTAAGAAGTTAAACTATGGTCTGTGCACTCTGGTTTAGTATTATGTCTGAAACTGAGAATGGAGATAAGTTTTATAAGTTTGAGTCGATGTTGTCAAACTCATTTTTTTAAATGAATTAAAATTTTTTTTTAAATTTAACTCGTTTTTTTGAAGCAGGTAAGTTTGAGATTGAGTCTAAAATGAGTCGAATTTTATGAGTTCGAATTGAACTTTTTAAGATTATTTTTTTAAAATAACTTAAAAAATTATGTAAACGCAATTAACCTTTAAAAAACGAATCGAATTTGAGTAAGGCCCATACAAGTCCAGTCAAATCTGCGTTGTCCTTAAGTAACTTGACCGGATTAAGGGCCCTAATAATATCCAATCGTGTTCTTTTCATGGGTTTTGGCCCAATCCATTGTTCATCCCTCGGTTCTTGGCTTCTCTCTTTCTTTTTCGAACAAGAGAACTTCACGATCACAGAAGTCTGTACAAATGTACATCCTCCACACAAACACACTCTAATTTCTGATTCCACTCGTTTTAAATTTCATATTATCTTAATATATATCCATACATGGCTTCCACCGTTGTTCTTCATAATATCTTCTTCTCTGTTTCAGCTTGCTCTGCTAAATGTTACAGAAACCGTAACCTACCGCTCAACTCTTCTCTGATTTTCTCCTCTAAATCCCTTTTAAGGTTGAAGAAGCAGTCTCTGCTCTCAACTATCCCAACCCATAAGCTCAAAAGACGCAAAACTCACGCCGCGCCTGTCGTCTTCGCCGTCCAATCCAATTTCTTAAAAGGTATTTGTCGTTACCTCTAGGTCTTCTGAATTCGCTCTATACATTTGTTTGATTGCTATTAATTTTCACTTTTTTCTTGGTTTTATAAGATATTGATTGCTTATGAATGGTATTGAATTGGCTTTAATGGGGAAGGAAAATTTTGTTTTGGTTGGAAAACATGTGCTGCTATGAACATTTATTAGAAATTGGTTTAGTTTTTCAATAACTATGTGGCTTAATTGCGTTTTGATTTCAGTATTCTGTGAAAGTATCAAGTTGAAAATTGCTCTAATAGTAAGTTGGGTGTGCCTCCAGGAATGAATGGCACAAGATTTCATGTCCCCTAATGATACACTGTCTCGTGGTCGCATGTAATTTAGAGTTTGTGCTCGTGTCTTGTAAATGTCTATAACATTAAAACAAAAAAAAAAACCCTCCTAAAGGGAAATTTTATATATATATATAAATTTTGGTTAAGTTATGGTACTCATTTAAACCTTTTATTGGCTAGTTGCAATCATTTCAGGTGGAAGTTAATCCAATGTTGTCAATTTGTTCAAAATGGAAGATTGACATTGTATGCATGAGGAATGCTATTAGTGTTTGATGTTTGAACTATACCATGGTATTAGGTTAAAGTATGAGAAACGAACATCAGAAACTGTCCGGGGTACAAGATGCACTTGTTATTTTATTTGCTAGAAGTAGACAAAACCACCATTAATGAGAAACTGTAACAAGATTGGTCCCTTNGGTTCCCAATCAAGAAACCTTGCGTCTCTGAGAACTAATAAGGCAGCAGCATTTCTGCCTTGGGTAATAAGTGGTTTAATGGCCACTTGGACAAGACCTATGTGAATAAAATTGAATCCTTTGGCCTTGTGTTTCTTAAGGGTCTCCTTACTGAGGAGTTCACAGATATCATCCTCTTTTTTGAGGGGATGTACCTGTTCAACAGTTTTAATTTGGTGTTCTTTACTAAAGGTTTTTTGAACCCAAGTTGTGCTGTAAATACATTTTTCCTTAACCGGAGGAATGTTCCATTTTTTCCAGTCTGCCTTAGATTCTTCTACTTCTAGTTCTTCTTCATTAACTCTATGTGGTATAGAATAATCTGAAGATCTAGATGTACTAGCCCTAGAATTAGATCTAAGAAATCTACTCATATTTTAAATTTAAATTTTATCAAATTAGAAATAACAGGTAAGTTTCAACTACACGATANGGAAGGAAAATTTTGTTTTGGTTGGAAAACATGTGCTGCTATGAACATTTATTAGAAATTGGTTTAGTTTTTCAATAACTATGTGGCTTAATTGCGTTTTGATTTCAGTATTCTGTGAAAGTATCAAGTTGAAAATTTCTCTAATAGTAAGTTGGGTGTGCCTCCAGGAATGAATGGCACAAGATTTCATGTCCCCTAATGATACACTGTCTCGTGGTCGCATGTAATTGAGAGTTTGTGCTCGTGTCTTGTAAATGTCTATAACATTAAAACAAAAAAAAAAACNCTCTCGGGACAAAGAAAGGCTTACGTGCTCTTGAGGTTCTGGATTAAGGTTGGGTGACCGGGTACAACTAAAACTTACAAATGATTTCTAATATGAATCAAATGAAAATTTAAAGATGAGTTGGATGACTCAAATGTAATTGCAGAGATATATATATATATATAAATTTTGGTTAAGTTATGGTACTCATTTAAACCTTTTATTGGCTAGTTGCAATCATTTCAGGTGGAAGTTAATCCAANACCCTCCTAAAGGGAAATTTTATATATATATATAAATTTTGGTTAAGTTATGGTACTCATTTAAACCTTTTATTGGCTAGTTGCAATCATTTCAGGTGGAAGTTAATCCAATGTTGTCAATTTGTTCAAAATGGAAGATTGACATTGTATGCATGAGGAATGCTATTAGTGTTTGATGTTTGAACTATACCATGGTATTAGGTTAAAGTATGAGAAACGAACATCAGAAACTGTCCGGGGTACAAGATGCACTTGTTATTTTATTTGCTAGAAGTAGACAAAACCACCATTAATGAGAAACTGTAACAAGATTGGTCCCTTGTGTTTTAATCAAGCATGACATTTCTCAAAAAATTTACAATGCCAACGCACTGTTCATTTTGGGACATTCATTAGTAAATCAGCTGTTAAGCTAGCTTACCGCCACAGCATGTAATTGCTGCAGCCCCACTTACTTGATACAAAAATTTTAGTGTAGTTTCTTTTCAATCATGTGGAGGTAACTTTAATGTCAAATGTTGTGAAATAGTTCTTCAAACGGTATGGAATGTTGGGAAGGATGGTATTGAAGCAGGAACGAATTTGGTGCCTGTAAGTTTCGTTTGATATGTCTTTTTTTGATTAAAGGTAGCTTACATATTTCATTATGCCCAAATTCTATAGCTGTCTGCTCTTTTTTGGATGTTAGGATCCTATTCCAAGACCAATAGCAAGGATTTCTGTAACTATAGCTGCAGTGACACTTGCATTGTTTGTCCTGAAGTCATTCCTATCAACAGCTTTCTTTGTGTTGGTAAGGTTTCTATATCTTTCCATCTTGGAGGATTGATGATGCATGACTGCCATTGTGACTTTATTGTTGTGTGCCATATCATAAGTCTAACTTGATATAGTGGCTGCCATTTGTTTTTTTCCTTTGTTATTGAGAGATCTAACACTTGATGTTGATGACGCTTTGATAGATACTGTCAAGAAGAAAATTATTGTGAATAATAAGATGTTTAGGTTTCTAGGACTACTAGTCATTTTTGTAATTTTTTGGGTCAAGAGGTGCATGGCTAAGAGAATGAATAGATTTATTCTATTTGTCTTCTTTTGTTTTAATTATCTGGGGAATAAGTGAAATAAGTGAAATCCTATGGCTGATGGATTGTTTGTTCTCCAGTTTATCTTCACTAATTCCTCTCACTCACAAATCCATATATGATTTACCTCTTTCAATTTCTACAGTTTTAACTTTGAGCTTTCTATTTGATAAACAGGCTGTGATGGGACTCATATATTTCACATTCATAGCCATTAATAAGGATGAAGGCCCAAGAGGGGGTGGAGGTACCAGTACTACTTCTACAGAAGACTCGCTGGAAGAAGCGAGAAGAATAATGGAAAAGTACAAATAACTAGAGCAGAAGCAGTGTCACTGGTATTCAATCAACCTCTTCCCCATATGTTGTTTCTTTCAGCAGTAAGGTTTTGGGTTTGCTCTGACATAAAATGAATGAAATTCTTCTGTCATGGATTGATAAATCTTTCTTCTTAGTATTGCACCTTTTTGCTGCTTAAAACGCATGAGATTTGTGTACGAGTCTTGTAAAGCTTCAAGAAAGAGTCACTGGGTAATGTTGTGGGTAGGCTCGATTCTATAGTTTGTATTGAGCAATAATCTTTACTAAAGCTGAATGTATAACGAGATTTATGGTTCGACTGAGCAAAGGCATACCAAATGTGAATATTTAAAGAAATATCTAGATCCAGATAATTTTAAGGCATAATCTGAATATCCATGTACTGCTAAACTCCACTGCAAAGATAGGGGTCAGAAGGGAGCTCAAGTTATGGACTAGTGTGGGTAGGGATTGCTGATGTTTTCCATGGATCATGCGCAATTGGAAAAAAGCCAGACCTGTAAAGTATATATCTGTGTCTTGAATGTGTGATCCCTCTGAGTTATCAGATAAACATGTGACAACTTTCATGACTTTATAGCCCTTTCTTTCCTCTTGGCTATTCACGCATAAAGATCTTCGTATATATGCTTGGTTTTGGTTGGCAGTGCTGTAGGTAGGAGTACATTATGGAGGGATTAGTCACCCGGGCAAACCAACCCTCCTCTAACATGAATTGTGCTATTCCCTTTCCGATCCCTGTAGAGTGAAATAGTTGTTTGGTGATCCCTAGGTTGTAGCATGCCTCATCGTTTAACTCGCGTCGCTGTTGTCATTTTTAGGACTGACCGACGTCTCACCTGCACAAGTAGCTATGTAATGTCGGTCATACATTCAACATAGTGTTCGAACTCATGTGCCTTCTAGATACGGGTGCAACTCAGGCGGGTTGGATAGGTTGAAGGGTTAACCCTAGTCCAACCTTACATGTATAATCTTTAACCTGAGCCCGAGCCTGACTTCAATTCGAGTATTGTCTAAGTTGAATTCGGGCGAGTTCGGGTTGAATTCGAATTACAAATCAGATAAAAAAAATTACGCAACTCAATCAGAACACAACACAAAGAAATTAAACCAAAAAATCCAAAATACCATAGCCACCACAACCACTACCCATAGCTATTGTCATTGTCACCACAACTTGTTGGGTTTTTTTTTAAGGAGTCTAGTTTGTATATGTGATCCGGATGATGACCCGACCCCGACCCGAAGTAATGTTGTGTGGTTTTTTAATGAAAAATTTTTTGAGGCTTAGTCCATGGAGCGAAGGCTTGGGTCGATAGGGCCAAGCCGTAGTGTTCATGGACAAGCTTCGTGGGGGTTCAGGGGCAACGCCCCGAGGAAAATTTTTGGGCCCGTTATACAGCCCAGTGCGTAGGACATATAAACTCTGTTGTTTTTGTGATTAGGGTTAATCGTGGATTGTACAGCCGCTCTCTGTATTCAACTCTCTCAATAGTGAAATCTCTGCAGCTTCGTGGACGTAGGCAAATTGCCGAATCACGTAAAATCTCTGTCTTGTTCTTTCTTGTTTCTTATTGTTTTATATTCTTGATTTGTTCTTCGATTGTGTGTGTTTGTTAGTGAATTTAAATCGTGTTAAATCCCAACACAACCACTGCCCATAATCAGCGTCACTACCACCATAACCACTTCCCATCGCCACCACAGCCACCATGTCATTGCCCATATAGCCACCACACCATAACAGATTCCCACACAACCACCACACCACAGTCACCAAATCTGACCATCGTTGTGGTCTTTGATGCTATAACCACCAAATCTCCACCAGATCTCAAATGCAAAAACCACCAAATCTGAGATGCAAAAGTCTAAATCTGATCATTGTTGTGGTTTTCGGCACAGAGGGAGTAAGAGCGAGGCCGAGAGAGAGTAGAGAGAGCCTGAGAGATGGAGAAGGGCTGAGAATGAGAACGAGAAAGGCAATGTGAGATGTAAAGAATACAAATGAAAAACCCTAGTGCTAATGCTTTATATATATATATATATATATATATATATATATATACTTTTTTTAAAAATTTGTCGGGTTCAGGTTGAACCCGGAAACCAGAGGCATCAACCCAAAATTTGTCCGAATTCAATTCGGGTAAGGGTTCTTTTGTCCAGGTCCAACTTAAGTATTAAAAATTTTAACACAAATCTTATTTTTTTTGAGTTGGGTCGGGTCGACTTGAATTCGAATTGGCTCGCCTAAATTACACCCCGAGGTTGCTCCGTACGATTAAGCAACCTTGCAGCGGCAAAATCTGGTTTCAAAATTTTCTTCCTGGCAGCAACAAATAGATTCTAGTGGTGGAGGCACAGAACTTAAAGAAAACCAATCAACATGTTCCCACCATGCTAAGCATGATTAATGAAAAACACACTGCTATGTGGTGCTTTTAGAGTGACAATTGATGGTTTTTAGATGGCAAAGGTAACAAAACTGAACTGATTATTTCAAAATGCATGCTCCTATTTCACATCATTATTGAACTCATGCAGAATGCTGAACTGGGTGACACATGAACAGCCCAAAAGTTCTCTTTAGACCGGCATGCTTCTTCACAATATTTTCTGGTGTAACTGAATGATACATATGGAATCTTACCCTTTTCCCTCTACGCTCTTCAAAATTTATGGGTTTACAAATATCATGTGTAACATTTCAATTAGTCTTCGACTAGGCTCTCGAAAGGTTTTTTTTTTTTTTTGTAAGTTTTATACTGAAATTGCCAAAGTTACATAAAATGGGTCATTTGAGATCGATTTTTTTTTTTTTGACTTGATCTTTTGGATTGTAACATGACTCAAAAAATTATAATGGTTTTTTGCACTTTACACCCTAAAAAATTTTAAGATTCTCACTATGTATACTCAAAGATTAAATTTCTTACATTGTACCTTTAATATATTAAAAATGTTATTGACCCTTTTGTTAGTTTTCGTTATTTTTTTTGTCAAAAGTGAATCCATTGATATTGACAAAAAAATTAATGAAAATTAACGAAAGGGTCATATTGAAACATTTTTAATACATTAAGGGGCCGTTTGTTTCGAGTATAAAATTTAGGTGGTATAAGATTTTATATTCATTCCACTCCGATCCAATAGTATATTATACCCGATATTAAACTATAATCTCATCCTTCCTCTTGTTTGTTTATTACAAACATTATCTGTGTAATACTTACTTAAAAAAGTTAACAATTACGGCTAACCAATATAAAAAGACAATTTTAACCTTAAAAAGTCAAAAATTGCAACTAGGCTTTTATATGGGTATTGTACCTGAGGATATTTCGGTTTTTTTAGTTTATTATACCTCCATTCATTTATATCAAGAATATTATACCATCGGGTAGGTGGTATTGAATAGTACCGTGTAGAAGGCATTAGTGTTACTATTCACACCGGGTCGGTACTATGACCCAGAAATTAGTACCTAGTAAAAAATGTCAAACAAACAAGGTTTAAGGTAAATCTCATGTACTATTTTCCTTATATCATCCCCTTATAGTACTCTTATACCTCAAACAAACAGCCCTAAGGGTGTAATATAAAATTTTTAATTTTTGATGGTACAAAATAAGAATCTTATAACCTTTCAAGGTGCAAAGTGCAATTCTACCAAATTATACCTACGTATTTTTATTTTGGGTCCAGTACCATAAACAAATCCCTTAATTTATCATACGGATATTTGAAGAAAACCATGAAACTAATCCAGACAAGAGGAAAATGATTGTGATAATCTGTACAAGGTGGTGGAGACCCGCTGGATTGACAGATAAAACACCTCTTATGTGACCTTGTATCAATCCTAGACCTAGTAAAGGGCCTCTCAGTCTATCTCCGACACATGTTCCCCCATGGCCCTCTTCTCTTCTTCACGTCTTGGCTCCTGTGGACCTTCTCCCCTACACAGCCTTAGCTTTAACTTTTCTTCATGGCTTCTGCTTTTGGGGTGTGACCCACAAAGAACACATGGACCCACTAAAAAGTACCCAGTGCATACCAAGACCATCAAACCCAATGTACACCCATCATCTCCAACCATTGATTTCAAATTCTTACACTGAAGTCAAAGATCAGTGCCACGTGTCGGGTTGAAAAACCAGAGAGCATCAAGTGTCAAATGCACCATCCCTAAAAAACTTTTAGATTGAATAGACAACTCTTGGTGGCGTCCTGCTGGGCAGCCTCTCTTTGTTTCTCAAAGAAACCAAAGCTTTAGAAAAAAAATTAAAAAAATCTGCAGTTCCAAAGGCAAGCGTGCAGACTTTAAATATAGAAAGCAATTTGTATGGTGAGTTTGTGCTGTATATGAGGAGTACCCTAGACTTAGAATCTCCATGGTAGAATATGACCATACCGTCCTGCTCATAGTACCGTTGGAACAGTATTGGATATGTTAAATGGTATCTAACAATCACATGAGTTGAAATTCGTTTTTTTTGTTTAACGGATTAAAATACTTGAATTAATTTACGTGTATTTTAATTATATCTCTTTTTTGATTCAATTAAAAATAAATTATTTACGTAAAAATTAAAATATTCATAAAAGATAAATTTTGTATAATCTAATCCCAATCAATTGCGGTTTGTCTAAAAATTTCATTAGCTGAGAATTAGAGTTGCAGTATAATTGTATAAACGGATAATTTAGCACTACCATAACTGGACCACATCTAACAACCCCAACAACCATCCATTTTTTGTAAGATTAAGGAGGAGGGTATGATTGTTGAAACATAGTGTCATTTCAAAGCATAACAGTACATTTAATTGGCTGAGAGAACACTCACAGTCAACACTCTGTCAGCTTTCCCAAAAGAGAAAGAGAAAACCTCAAAGAACTTCCCACCACTCTCTGTCAAGCTTTCTTTTTCTCTCACTACTCCCCCTTTCTCTACCTTGCTTCATCCATGGCGTTCTTGAAGCTTTTATCTCTTTACATAACCTTCCTTCTGATCCTTTCATCCTCACCCAACGGTCTCACTCAATCTTCTTCTACTTCAGACGTTGAGCTTATTTTGCAAAAGATCAAACCATCACTACAGGGTAACACAGAGAACTTGCTCTTATCTTCATGGAACACATCAGTACCACTTTGTCAGTGGAGAGGTCTGAAATGGGTCTTCACAAGCAACATTCCTCTCCTCTGCAACGACCTCTCTTCCCCACAATGGACCAACCTTTCTCTCTCCAGAGACCCATCTCTCCACCTTCTATCTCTAGAACTTCCCTCTGCTAATCTCTCTGGAACGCTCCCAAGAGAGCTCGGTGAACTCTCGACCCTCCAAAGTCTTTACCTTGGCGTCAATACAATCTCTGGAACCATCCCTCTCGAGCTCGGGTACAGCTCTTCTCTCTCTGATATTGATTTGGGAAACAATTTGCTCAATGGGTCAGTTCCTACGTCGATCTGGAACCTCTGTGACCGACTCGTTTCACTTAGGCTTCATGGTAATTCTCTATCTGGTTCTCTTCCTGAACCTGCATTGCCTAATACTACTTGCAAGAATTTGCAGTTTCTTGATCTTGGGCACAACATGTTCTCGGGGACTTTTCCGCAATTTATTTCTAGGTTTCAGGGTCTTAAACAGCTTGATCTTGGGAACAATATGTTTTCGGGTTCAATCCCAGAGAGTTTATGCACACTAAATTTGGAGAAATTGAATCTTTCCCACAATAATTTTACTGGAGTTTTACCCAATTTTGGTGAAACTAAGTATGGTGTGGAGGTTTTTGAGGGAAACAATCCTGGGCTTTGTGGATCACCTTTGAGGGGTTGTAGTGGAAATTCTAGGTTGAGTTCTGGTGCAATTGCTGGTCTTGTTATCGGTTTGATGACTGCAGTAGTGGTTTTGGCGTCATTGTTAATTGGGTATGTACAAGGAAAGAAAAGGAAGAATGTGGATGAAGAGGAGGATGAATTGGAGGAAGGAGAGGAAGGAGAAATTGATGAAGGTGGTGGTGGTGGTGGTGGTGAAGGGAAGCTAATTTTGTTTCAAGGCGGCGAGCATTTGACTTTGGAGGATGTGTTGAATGCAACGGGGCAAGTTATGGAGAAGACGAGTTATGGGACGGTTTATAAGGCAAAGCTAGCTGATGGAGGAACCATTGCTTTGAGGTTGTTGAGAGAGGGTAGTTGTAAGGACAGTAATCCTTGTATACCAGTGATAAAGCAATTGGGCCGAGTCCGCCATGAGAATTTGATTCCATTGAGAGCTTTCTATCAGGGGAAGAGAGGGGAGAAGCTGTTCATTTATGACTATCTTCCCAACAGAACCCTCCATGACCTCTTACATGGTGAGTGTGTAGTTTAAAGCTTTCCTATTTAGTCTTGTTACTTGATCAACACAACACACACACATACACCCGCGCACACTACCTACTTACACATTTATGTGTGCTTGTGCATATGGCAAATGAAGTTAGAACTTTATTCTGGATGTGACAAGCTCAATTAGTTTTGTGGAACTAAACCTCTTGTTGCTGAGGAACTAAAACTCAAGAAACTTTCATCTTTAAGTACTTGAAATGGGTATAGCAAAAGCATAAATTGAGAGAAACTTTCAGAAAACACTAAAAGTACATGATTTCCAGCATTGACAGTAAAATATGGAAAGGAATACAAATTTGAGAAGTCCAATTAGGATGGTAGTACACATTACCGTACACATACGACCCACATCAAAATTATCCAAGCCAGAACATAAGATACAGAACAAAATGAATAATGGAGAAACTCCATGAAAGATGGTTCAGTAAAATCCTGAGAAATGCAGAACTTAAGGCTTAACAAATTTTGGTCCCATCCCATGGCAAACACACTGCAAAAGTGGGCCTCCAGATTTTTTTTTTTACTTTCAGAAGTCACATAAAATGGTTATTCTCTCAAGAGACCACTCTTATTAAACCAATGGAAGTCACTATCCCATTTTTTGGATCATCTGTTTCAAATTGGTCCCTAAAGCTCCATCACAACAGTCACCACCAGTGTGTTTCAATGGAGTGGGGCAAGTTGCAAGTCACAACCGAAAATAACCAAAAGAATTTAAGTTAGGGAGCTCCTAAGTAAACCAACAATTGCAGCATCTGTTTAGTGAAAGGACTCAATCAACTTGGCCCAGTTTTGATTTGGATTCCGATGATATTAGGCATGTAGGTTAGGCCTTTACTGATGCTTGATGACATTCATATATATGCATTGCAGTGTTTAAGAGCAGTGATTAAAATTTTGTTAAAATACTTGTCGGTGATGCTATATTGTGAATGATGGACACCTAACTCATTTGTAATTTACCAATGCTGGTTGATACAGAATCAAGGGCTGGGAAGCCGGTATTGAATTGGGCTAGGCGACACAAGATTGCCTTGGGGATAGCCAGAGGACTAGCATTTCTTCATACAGGTCTTGAAACACCTATTACCCATGGAAATGTGAGATCAAGAAACGTTCTTGTAGATGAATTTTTCGTGGCCAGAGTCACTGAGTTTGGGCTTGACAAGCTAATGATCCCAGCCGTAGCCGATGAAATAGTGGCGCTTGCAAAAGCGGATGGTTACAAGCCACCAGAACTGCAAAAAATGAATAAGTGCAATTCCAGGACAGATGTTTATGCATTTGGGATACTGTTGTTAGAGATTTTATTAGGGAAGAAGCCTGGGAAAAATGGGAGAAGCGGTGACTTTGTTGATTTGCCTTCACTAGTGAAAGTTGCTGTTTTGGAGGAAACAACAATGGAGATTTTCGATGTGGAGCTTTTGAAGGGGATAAGGAGTCCGATGGAAGATGGATTAGTACATGCATTGAAGCTCGCAATGGGTTGCTGTGCACCGGTGGCTTCAGTTAGGCCAACCATGGATGAAGTTGTGAAGCAGTTGGAGGAGAATAGACCACGGAACAGATCTGCTTTGTACAGTCCTGCTGAAACTAGGAGTGGAAGTGGTACCCCCTTTTGAGATCTCTTTCAGGATTTCATCAAATTGTGAGTCACATTTATCTTACTGCCTATTAATTTCTCCTAATAGAGAGACAGGTGCTGAATGGTGATCGCTATCTTTTCTTTGACTAGTTTCTTTTTCTGTTGTTTTTCCCAAATATGAGGGAAATTGTATTTTGAATATGGCGTTTTAGATATATGCATCCAGAAGAAAAGGGAAACATCCTTTTTGTGCAAAATCATGAACTTCTAGATTTGGTCACCTAAATTATGAATAGGGTAAAACACATTGATAGTCCTTGAAATATGCTCTTTGTTCACCTTTGATCCCCTAAATACTTTTTATGATTGTCTATTTGTGGTCTCACAGTTTTTATTAGAATGCAAAAACGACTAATATTCTGATTATCTAGCTTCTAGTGAACCGTATGTGGCAACTGCATGCAACCACATTAAAGTCTGATTCCCATTCTTCATGGATTGTAAGCCTGGAACACAAAGGTTGGACAAAAATGGCATGCTTTATGAGTTAGAATGTGTATTCACATGCCTGTGGTGTGATATCAGTGTCATCCTAAGTTTTTTCCTTGTTGAGTTATGCATGCATACAACTCATTAGATTTGTTTCAGGAATAAGCCACGAGAAGTACAGAAAATCAAGCTAAGAGGGAAATGTAGCCAACCACAATTACATTACTTGAACATAAGAACAGGGTCTTGTAACTATCTGTATCAGAAACAATTGCAAATAAAGCTCTGTCTTTCTTTCTTTCTTTTCTGTTCTTTTCTTGAGAGAGAGAGAGAGGGTCTCCCCTTTTCTCATATGAGCTACAGATTTAATGTTGAGACAAAGCCATTGAGCTTAAAGTGGTAGAGGAGAACAGGATCATTCCATACTGAAGTAAGGGGATGAAGGAAGAACATGAAAAAAGACAGGAACAACACTTCCGCACCTGCTTCAGAGATTTTAAACTTCCGAGTTGAAGCAGGCCGAGGTTGAACAATGGGTATTGAGACAAGTGTAATAATAACAAAGGGTTTGAGTCGTTTGACTGCATAGTGACACGTGAAAGATTTATACTAGTCAAATACTAATTGGGACAGGCGTAAAGAAGNTCCTATGTCTTCCAGCAACCCCAGGTCATTTTGGACCTTCACAAATAACAAAAAGTGTGGTATATATAATGGGAAAAGTATTGAGGACATTTTAGTATATTTACATAAGGAATTGTAGTTTTGACATTTTCATAAGATTTATAATCAAATCGTTACTTTTTTGTACGGACGGAGTTAAAAATTACAATTAAATGAGTGTCTTTGATTTGAAAATATAAATTAGAAGGGAGTATAGTGAAATTTTAAATCGAGAAGATGTGTCATTGAATTTAGACCTAAGGGGTGTGAATGAAATTTTTCCACTATTTTAATCAGTTCTAGACTTTAATGTAGATGTATTGTTCTCATGTGAATGTCGTTGTTTGGAAAAAAAGTGTATAATTTTTTTCGGTAAGTTTTAAAAAAGGGGTACTACTAGTTTCATATTGTTGTTGCATACTTATGGAATGGAGGTTTACTACTGCCATGCCAAATTGAAATCAAGACTGGATTGCCATTAACCCTGTATGTTTTAAGGTCTAAATGGGTAATTTATGGTATTTATCCTTACTAGTGTAACATGTACCTCTTTAGCGTTAGGGTCGACAGGGGCAAGATATCGGTTGCCCTGGCTATTAATTGTGGGATCGGCACTGCCACCAATTGCATACATTTCCCAGTGAGTATAGTCATTGTTCACCACATGGAAATACCCATGCCTACACCTGCAAATCAATTAATTTCATCCAATAGATTAAACTGTAACACCACCCATAGCCTTTCTTGGTCACCCATAGCCTTGGTGATGATAATATAACTCATATGAGAACAACATAACTTGGGAATGTTACCTTGGCATTCTCTGGATGAGACCCTCTCCAAAATGGTTGTAGGCAATGGTCACCTGCATAATCTTATCTCTTGTAGACGAATCACTGTGGCCTAATAGCATCACCTGTTTATGATTTGCAAATGGAAAAATATTATATGTGTTGGGTGAGTAATTCAATCAATCTGAGTAAATTGATGAATAGAGAAATTTAAGTGACCTCATTGTGGTGGGTGAAGTGATTGTTAGATATGGTAATTGCAGTTGATCCCATTATAGCATCGATAAGGCCATCAGCACAGTTAGAGAGAGAATTGTGATCAAGCCAAATGTGGCTTGCCCCAAAAAGGGAAATGCCATCACCATCAGCTATTGTCCTCCAACCATAGTGAGTTGGCGAGCTTCGTACCATGGCATTGCCAGTGGGCTTGCAATCATGGATGTGGAGACCGTGAATAATCACATTTGTGATATACTGAATTGTGATGCAAGCTCCATTTGCAATGTGGACATTGGTTCCACGAGCGTCAATTGTCTTGAAACTATTCATTATTAGCTCTTCCTTTAGTGTGATCACCATGTCACGTTTAAATACAATCCATAGAGGCTTGTCTTGGATAACAGCATGACGGAGTGTGCCAGGGCGGGGATTTACCGGGTCATCGTCACCTGGATCAGAGACAACATAGTATCTGCCATCGCGGCCACCTATGGCATTGCGTCCAAAGCCAATGGCACAGTCAGCAAGGCGTTTGCGGTGGCGTTGCCAATTGGGGTCACAGCGCCAGCAGTCATCGATAGGATTTCCTGTCACACATGAGAAGAAACCCAACTTCCTCCTTTCTGTGCTATTGCGAATGCTCCTGACATTTGAAACACTTCATTATCATAATCTCATTGGTAGCATGTTAACATTTTGGAAACTACACATCGATCATCAAGCCGTGGATCTATGATTCTATTAAGACAAAACAGTTCAAGAAATGAAATATATTTAACCGGACAATCAATAGAAAATCAGACGGTGACTTTTGATATTCTATTGACAACAATAGAAAATAAAGGGGGATGCTTGATATGCATCATAAAATTCTAGGATCTATCCTATTTTTTTCTTTTTCAAATTGTAATGTAACCACTATTGATTAGCTAGTGACTTTTATGAGTTGTATTACCCTTCAACAGGTTCCAATATCATCCCTTGGCAAAAAAGTAAAAAATATTTGATAGAGAGTGGTAAGACCATGAAATTCAAGGTCACGGTTTAATGCAATAGGCTATATTTAATACTATACCCCTTGAAAGTCTTTAAGGAATGCCATCCGAATCAATTATAATGGTGGGAAAGTAAATTTATTAGAGGGTTAGCATACGGATAGATGGATACGGTTCATACGGAAAAAATGATTTTCTTGTACACACTTGGGTGTAAGAAATAAATGTGGCATGTGGTGAGAAGAGTAATAGCTACGGTGTCGGTGAGGGTAACTCAATTGTAGATCAGAGGTCATTCAATAATAAGGTCATGGTTGTGTCAGGCAGTTGCTGGCATTGGCCAAATGGATCCACAAGACTTTCCCAGGACGAACTCAGATCTGATCATCTTGGAGCTTATGCTCTTAGCCAGGCTGGAGACAGGGAACAAAATTTATGTGGGTCTGCCCAATTGTGGATATGGTTAATTTGCAATGTTGTTGCCTGTTCAGAAGGTTAGGTTTTGTTTGCGGCCATGGTGATCATAAGTGGGATGAAGTTACCATATAAGAGTAACATAAGAATTTAGAGCAGGGGGAAATGACTTTGTTGCATTACACTAGTAGCATAAAATGGAGCGTTCTAACTTTTAATATACAAGAGATTGCGAATTGCATTTGATTGGAGAAGTTTAGCAGCAGCGGCTGCTTTAATATTGGACCTAATTTGGTGGAGTGAGATGCACTTAAATACACATTTTATTCATTTTTCTTTCTGACAAATCAGGTATTATTAATTCAAATAGGACTAATTATATATAAGCTCTTAAGTTAATCCCTCACTAATATCTTGTAGGTGATTTGTCAAGAAGAAAAATAGAGAAAATGTGTATTGGAGGAAATTTTAATCCTAATTTAAGGACATAATTCAATGTACCCAATGAATTAATTGTTAGTTTCAGTGTTGAATGAAGTTTACTTTTAATGAAACAAATGTAATTAATTAAGTCTCTAAATTAAATTTAAATTATATTTTTCTTTAATATTTAATGTGATCTTTCACGTGGAATCGTCCATTTAACAGCTTTGACAGTGGTCAAAATCAACCATATAAGATTTGACGAAAATGAAGAAAAAAAAAAGTAGAGAAGGTCCGAGGCATAGGGGAGTCTTATGTGGAATCTCCAGGAGTATCAGCTTTAGGAGAAAAAGAAATCTCATAATAATGTTGGATAAACAATCTCAGTCTGCCACTAACCACGTGATCAAAGCAACTATAATCTTAAGCAATTGTCACATAAAAGACGAACACACCACGAAAGTAATTGGACCCACACAAAACAATTTTAAGGCTTCACGAATTAAGGACACGCATATATTGCATGAAATTATCCGAATATCAAACAAACATCGGTATACAAAAAAGGGAAAAAAAACATAAATGCGTGATGTGGGGATCTGGCCACTGAGGCATGTGCAGATGGTAACAAGTAGAAAATATTCAATATTCAACATTAAGTTGGTGGAATTTACTGGCCACCCCCTCTCTTTTTTTCGTTCAAAAACAAGTTTAGTGGAATTTACTTATTTAATTTGATACTTTATAATATCTTCTTGATGCAATATCATCTGTAATACGTGCAATCGTATATTAATTACAATCACACACATATACTAGTAAACCTCACTAAGTAAATGTAGTAATTATTTGATGAGTAATTTTTGGTTATTATTTAATTAAGTGAGGTACACCGGTCACTAATTTTACTTATAATTAATCAGTGATATTATATGCTAACAATGATCTCATATAACCATTTCGTTTAAATATATATTTGTCATTAGTTCGACAGAATTTATGGAAGCCCACTTTTAAAGCCTGTCACAATGCATGTGAGAAGGTAAATTAATGATCCTTCCGCGAACAATATTCCAAGAAGCAGTCTTGTCTAGTTAGCTCTTTGACTGGCAGTAGAAGAGGAGAACAGTGGATAAAATTGGAAAAGGACAGCTGACGATTTCAAGTGGGTTTATAACTTGTAAGGAGTTTTGTTGGTGAGAATGGCTGAAAATTAAGGGNTATTCTAAATAATATTGTACAATTTTTTACCATCAAATAAATGTGTCTCATTAATATTCAATGAAAGAAATTATACTACGTCATTTGATAAAAAACATTCGATAATTTATTTTGAATAGTGCTATGTATCTCAAATGATCCTCCTTGATTTAAGATATAAATTTAAATTACATATTCGAAATACATATCATTACTTATTTATTTTCATATGTTTAGCATTTTTCGAGCATTATAGAGAGTTGGTTTTAATTTTGTGGAAATGTACGGATCATGTGATGTGATGGGCTTTCTTCACTAAAATGCCTATTGCCTCACCTCCCAATAAGATCATTAAATGAAACACATGAAGTCCGGGGGAAGGAAGGAATCACAATCAAGCTAATAGCAATTAATTATCGATCAAGCTATGTAGAAACATATAGAAAGACTCACATATCAACCATGGAAGCCACCACTTCTGGATCGTCTACCGCATGTTCATGACTGACTCCAGCGTACTCGTTTGACCTGAAACTTACATTGTCATGGCACTATCAGCGCATTATTAGACAGTGTACATTTAACTCATAATATTCGGTATATGACATAGCATTTGTCATATACCGAATGCAACATTTACATCACATTATTATTGATATGTGATATTATTAATAAATTTATAAAACTCTAATAATAATAATAATAAAGCTTATTATTCTAATAAACAATAATAACCACCTCATCAATAACTCTCAAATTAGCACCAAAAAATAATCGCCACACCGAATAAGTGAAGTTAACTAATGTTGTTTATCATTTTATTATTTATTAGTAAAACTACTTGTTCATTATATTAAACTTTTTCTGGACATTGAGAGAAACTGAGGAAATTAAAAAGAAAAATGGCATCGCTACATATGCTTTGTCGAAAAGAAACACAGCGCTTGAGAGTCGAGATCGAGACACAATTCAGGGAGAGACGCTATTGGTTTGAGACTGAGAGTACTTGGCTTGTTTGACACTTCACTTACCCAAACTAACCCTAAGGACTTATCTGCTTAGTTATTTTAGTATTATTAATTAGTGATACCACCTTATCTAACCGCTTGATACCTACTTGGTAACGAATATTTTCTTATTTTATAGCGACTTTTTCTCCGGGATTGAGAAGAGAAGAGCAGACGATGGACAAACAAACATAACAGAGTAAAACGATTCAGATTTCTAAATCCAATCTGAACGATTTAGGATTGTGACTTTCTCTTATTTCGAATATGTCGGACCGGATGGTGCTGAAATTTTAATCCAAACCTACTTGGACGGTCCACATAAGTTGCAAAAATGTAATAAAAGGAAGATACTAAACTGAAGCTGAGATATAATGAGAGGACTGGTTGGTAGTTACTGACCTATCCGCCATGGTTGAGTTGTTTAAGTCCTGTAACTGCTGTGATTCTTTGACACTGAGATTCGAGAACACGAAAAAACAACGTTAAGAGATACTAAATCTGATAAAAACCTTTCCATTTTGCTGTTGATTTCAAATGAAAAATGCGTTTGAGTAACAATTACTGTCCAAGCTCAATAAATTCTCAACAATATAGGTTCACTTCAGATTTAAGACGTAACTAACTTATGAAACGGAGTTTTAGAAAGCGCAACCAAACCTTATAGAAAGATCTACCATCTCTGTTTTGGTTTTTCATAAATTTGATCGGAATTTCCAACAAAAAAACTCCGATAACACGCCAAAAGTCCAATACAAGGCGCTACAATTTCAAATTCTTTGACATGCATTGCGGTGATATGCTATNTCTTGATGCAATATCATCTGTAATACGTGCAATCGTATATTAATTACAATCACACACATATACTAGTAAACCTCACTAAGTAAATGTAGTAATTATTTGATGAGTAATTTTTGGTTATTATTTAATTAAGTGAGGTACACCGGTCACTAATTTTACTTATAATTAATCAGTGATATTATATGCTAACAATGATCTCATATAACCATTTCGTTTAAATATATATTTGTCATTAGTTCGACAGAATTTATGGAAGCCCACTTTTAAAGCCTGTCACAATGCATGTGAGAAGGTAAATTAATGATCCTTCCGCGAACAATATTCCAAGAAGCAGTCTTGTCTAGTTAGCTCTTTGACTGGCAGTAGAAGAGGAGAACAGTGGATAAAATTGGAAAAGGACAGCTGACGATTTCAAGTGGGTTTATAACTTGTAAGGAGTTTTATTCTAAATAATATTGTACAATTTTTTACCATCAAATAAATGTGTCTCATTAATATTCAATGAAAGAAATTATACTACGTCATTTGATAAAAAACATTCGATAATTTATTTTGAATAGTGCTATGTATCTCAAATGATCCTCCTTGATTTAAGATATAAATTTAAATTACATATTCGAAATACATATCATTACTCATTTATTTTCATATGTTTAGCATTTTTCGAGCATTATAGAGAGTTGGTTTTAATTTTGTGGAAATGTACGGATCATGTGATTTGATGGGCTTTCTTCACTAAAATGCCTATTGCCTCACCTCCCAATAAGATCATTAAATGAAACACATGAAGTCCGGGGGAAGGAAGGAATCACAATCAAGCTAATAGCAATTAATTATCGATCAAGCTATGTAGAAACATATAGAAAGACTCACATATCAACCATGGAAGCCACCACTTCTGGATCGTCTACCGCATGTTCATGACTGACTCCAGCGTACTCGTTTGACCTGAAACTTACATTGTCATGGCACTATCAGCGCATTATTAGACAGTGTACATTTAACTCATAATATTCGGTATATGACATAGCATTTGTCATATACCGAATGCAACATTTACATCACATTATTATTGATATGTGATATTATTAATAAATTTATAAAACTCTAATAATAATAATAATAAAGCTTATTATTCTAATAAACAATAATAACCACCTCATCAATAACTCTCAAATTAGCACCAAAAAATAATCGCCACACCGAATAAGTGAAGTTAACTAATGTTGTTTATCATTTTATTATTTATTAGTAAAACTACTTGTTCATTATATTAAACTTTTTCTGGACATTGAGAGAAACTGAGGAAATTAAAAAGAAAAATGGCATCGCTACATATGCTTTGTCGAAAAGAAACACAGCGCTTGAGAGTCGAGATCGAGACACAATTCAGGGAGAGACGCTATTGGTTTGAGACTGAGAGTACTTGGCTTGTTTGACACTTCACTTACCCAAACTAACCCTAAGGACTTATCTGCTTAGTTATTTTAGTATTATTAATTAGTGATACCACCTTATCTAACCGCTTGATACCTACTTGGTAACGAATATTTTCTTATTTTATAGCGACTTTTTCTCCGGGATTGAGAAGAGAAGAGCAGACGATGGACAAACAAACATAACAGAGTAAAACGATTCAGATTTCTAAATCCAATCTGAACGATTTAGGATTGTGACTTTCTCTTATTTCGAATATGTCGGACCGGATGGTGCTGAAATTTTAATCCAAACCTACTTGGACGGTCCACATAAGTTGCAAAAATGTAATAAAAGGAAGATACTAAACTGAAGCTGAGATATAATGAGAGGACTGGTTGGTAGTTACTGACCTATCCGCCATGGTTGAGTTGTTTAAGTCCTGTAACTGCTGTGATTCTTTGACACTGAGATTCGAGAACACGAAAAAACAACGTTAAGAGATACTAAATCTGATAAAAACCTTTCCATTTTGCTGTTGATTTCAAATGAAAAATGCGTTTGAGTAACAATTACTGTCCAAGCTCAATAAATTCTCAACAATATAGGTTCACTTCAGATTTAAGACGTAACTAACTTATGAAACGGAGTTTTAGAAAGCGCAACCAAACCTTATAGAAAGATCTACCATCTCTGTTTTGGTTTTTCATAAATTTGATCGGAATTTCCAACAAAAAAACTCCGATAACACGCCAAAAGTCCAATACAAGGCGCTACAATTTCAAATTCTTTGACATGCATTGCGGTGATATGCTATAGAAAAATGCAGAAATAATGTATTTCTTGTTAAATGCTTCACAAATCACATTGTATCGGTTCAATAGCTAATAAGAACACAGAGAGAAACAGAATCTGTATACCTTAATATTTGGAGCTCATTTTCGTCTACCACAGCTTCGACGCCGACGAACAGCATTAGCACCAGCATTGAGCAAAGAACGAAACATCTCAGAGCCAGAGGAACTGCCATTGTTTCAGAGTTCAGAGACTCTTTCTTTTGTGTATATCTCTCCACTATTTTCTCTCTCTAAATCACGGAAAAAATGTCTTTCCTTCTCTCCCAAACTTACACTGTGAAAGAAAAAACAGAGCAAATGGAAACAAATAGAGATAAAGAAAAGGCTCAATGGAGAAGTCCTTTTATAGGTAAAAAAAAGATGGCGCTAGTCCACCACTCCCATGCTGCCTAAGTTGCCTAACTCCAGTAGACTGCAAAAACTCCTAACCATGGTTAGGTTAATTCTCACTCCGCTAATTACCCCCCTCCCCGTCTTATCACACCTAACCAACTGCCACTAACTGACTCTCTCTCTCTCTCTAAATACTATCCTTGGCAAGTGTCACCGACGTCGGTCATTCACATGCCTTGCCTTTGTCTAAGACGATTCAACCACCTTCAACGTTTTAACTGACTTTATTCACACCGTTGATGGGATGGGATTGGGATTTACCACAATGCCATGTCAGCAGTTTGTTTTACCAATTGTCCTTACTCGCGGTTAACGGTGGAACACTATACTCGCTTTCTATGACCGCCACTTATCCAGGTGCACATGCTAAGGACATGCTTAGTTGTTGGGAATCGAATAGGATTGTCGGGACTGTGTGGATTATTAATTTTACGTTTAAGCTGACAGACAGGTGCCAATTAATGAAGGAGGTACTTCCGTATAGAAGAGTTTGGTAGGGCCTCTTAAGTCACCGGTTATTCCGGTTTATGTCCGTACGCTAATCCCCGTTCGAAAAATGTTTCAAATGTCCGCTTCTTATCCGGTGGAGCTTTTTTTTTTTTTTAAATCAGAACCCGGTGGTGCTCTTCTATTTTAATTTTGACAAGATAATGGAAATTTCAGCTACAAGAATTTGTATCATATAATACGCGATACATATCGTATAATATTTTATGATACGATAAAAAAATAATATATATCGTGTTTCTATATCGTTTTTATATTTTATCGTATGATACACGATACATGACGATCCTTTTTTTTTGGATTTTTTGGAAATAAAATGACATTATTTTACCCTAATATATTGATTATTTTCTCGAGCTCAGTAGTTGACCACCAAGACTTAAGCCGGGTTGAAACATGTTTCTAATAGGACAATGGTAACTAACCCTTAAAAAATATGAGAAAGAATTGAATCTGAAATATTTAAGTTATGAAAAATCAAGCTCAACTATTGGATCATTTCCTAAGAGCTAATTCTCCTTCAATTTATTATTTATATGTGTTATATTTAGTTTTTTTACAAATATAATTAATTTTAATTCTATCATGCAACTGGATTTTGGAATATATATATTTTTTATTTTTTTCGGTGTCAAAGTCTGACATTTTGAATTTTGATTCTTTTTAGTATTTGTTTAAGTGATACAACTTGAGGTTCTGGATGCAAATTGCTCTCGCATGCAAATATGCAATCCACAAGTTGGTTGGTTGCATCATAACAATGATTTCACGCCTGCCAATCAAACGACTCTGAGAAACCGAGGTTTGCTCAACTGTCGAGGACATTTCTTATTGTTGATAGGAATTGTTTACATGATTCATTACATAGACGGCGGAAATAGCGCCATCAAGTAATAAATTTCTTAAAGTTAATATAAAACCTAATGTCGCGGTGTGCAAGGGTGATATAATAAATATTTAAAGTAATGCTTAAGGATAAAGGTGAGCTAAATTAATTTTAAATTATATGATAACATATAAGTTAATAAAAAAAAACATGACCTTTGATAAATTACAATAATAAAAGATAATTCACGTGGTCTATCTAAAAAATATGGAGATTAGATTTTATTGGGTTGAGTTCTATAGTAAAAAAATTACTTATTTTTTAATTTTGTATTTAGTAAATAAATTGAATTATTGTAGAATTAAATGATTTTAAATCTAAATTTATTTTTAGTTTATGAGTCACTTGTACTTTGGTTAATTTGGTTTAAAATTAGAAGGGAGTTTTATTATTACAATTTTTGGTTTATAGATTATACAAAACCAAATTTATTAAAATGTCATGAATATAAAACAAACCCACTGTTTTTTTTTTTTTACTATTAATTACTATTACTTGTGATGATCAAACTTGACCTTAGGGGAGTTAGTTCAAGTGGTGGTTGATCACTTGATAGTTACCTTAAGTTGGCAATGGTCAATGGTTCAATACTCTATAGAGTGAAAATATTTCTTGAGGCCACCGATCCCTTAGATTTAATTCATGTGCATGGAGAAGAAACTTTGTATGTGAGTCCAAATTAATTACCGGACATAGGTTCAAATGGACTCAATTAATGGGGAGTTTCTGGGTTACCAAAAAAGATGATCGAACTGCACTTCATTCATTAATAAAATGTGAGCATCTTTTAAAAAATAAAACGTGAACACCTAATGCAAATTCAAATCATTTGAAACTAATGTTCTTATCTTATATTTGTCTTCTGAGTGGAAACCCACAAAATAAGCTCTTTGAGTGTAATGGTCTTCATACTAGAGTGGATGAAAAATGAAAAGATGAAAAATAAAAATAATATATTTTTTATTCTTTAATGAATGAATCCTTTCTTTTCTCTTTTGTGTTTGATAATAGATATGGAAAGAATGAAGAATTGATTTTTTGGTGTGTTGATAAGATGGAAAAAAATAGTTTTTTTTAAAAAGTATAAATACATATTTAATTATTATATTTGTGTATAAAATTAATATATGCATAATATGTAATTGATAAATATGATATATAGATGAATAACATATATTTTAACACACATAATTAACTTTTTATCTATTTTTTTTTTCTAATTTTAGAGAGATTAATTTTACTGAATTGGAAAAAAGGTTAATTCATCCACTTTTTCATCTTTCCTATTTTTCTTCCTTACCAAACCAAATATGATATTTTTATTTATCTTTATAACTTTTTAAACTTCTATTTTTCCTCGTACAACAAAACATAACAACCGCCAAAGTAACATAATAGTTTCCTATGTAGTACATTTGCTGAGAATTTGCTCATTTGACCATTCTACACAAATTTCCTTTATGAGTCAAATTTATTTATTTATTAATTTCTCACCGGTTCAAGAGGAAAAGTTCATTTTTCCGAAAAGTATTTTTTGTGTGTATATCTTTAGCTTTCTTATTTTTAATAATTTTTTTTCCCAATCTATTCAACATAACAGCGTATGGGTCTTCAGTCTTCTTTGTCATTATTTTCCATCACAAGATACATTGTTTCTATGTACACATTTTCAGCAATCTTAGGAGATCGCTATGGAAGCATATGGGGTTTTTTTTTTGGACACAACAGCCTTTCTTTTTTTCTTGTCGTTTTATGTTCTGAAGAAATGAATATAAAGTCTGATTGAGATATGGTTAACTTTAAGTTATACCACTTTTTGTTTCCCCACATAAAGAAGTCAGACGCTGAAGCCCATTTAACAGTAATAGGGTTAGTTAAGGTTGATAATTGAGGCGAATTACTTAGGTTTAATTTGGATAAAACTCGATTCGAGTATTATATGACCTTAAACGAGTTGATCTCATTTAAACAAGTCAAGTTTGAACAATTTTTTAAACATATTTAGAAAACGAGAAGATTCAGATGAGTAAGTATAAATTCAAATGGTTTTATAATAGACGTTGAGTTTAGATATTAATAAGATCATTATAGATGAGATGAGGAAAATTTAATGGGATGAAAATTAATATTTGTAGGTTAAGGATAGCTCCACCCTTCAGTTTCTTAACGTGGGATCAAACTGCTCTTCTCTTATGCCAGTTTTATGATCCTTAATTCTTTGCCCAAAATACTTTCATTACTTCCAAACCAAATTATCTCCTAATAGCAAGTCTTGGACAATAGGTTATGTAGTCGGACCCCCAAAACTCTGCATGACAAACTGAGAGAGAATCGACTTAGATGGTTTGAACGTATTTATATAAGTCCTAATAATACACCGGTAAAAAAAGGGTGATTTGATACAACTATCGATGGTACTGCGAGATTTAAATGTACGCTTAAAATAATTGTAAACAAAATAGTAAAAAAATAAATGATAACTTATGATCTAATGGAACATATACTCCTTGATAGAACGAAATGGAAAAACAAAATTCATTTAGCCGACCCCAAATAATTGGTGTTGATCCCCGAATCTACTCACCGTAATGGATGGCTGGAATAATGACCTGGTTACTAGCGTGAGTCTTCGTGCAAAAGAAGTTGAACGCCAAAGAGACTTCGGTTGTGGACCCTCCAATAATAAAGTCAAAAAGAATAATGAAAAGAAACTATATTTAGCTGGTAATGAATTGCTTACCTGAATAATACATAGTTTGCCCTTTTTATAGGGGCAAAGGATTATACCATTAGAAGAACTCTAACAATTATTTGAATGAAGTGATATTGAAAGTAGAACAGAAGCTAATGCCTTTTAGCGTAAATATTTCAACCGATTTGAATTAGTCAAGACGAGCCGAGCAGTCAAGCTAGAGTGTTGGCGAGCAAGGAGCCAATGTCCTTGCTGCAGCTCTCCTTATATATCAAGCTGCAGAGCTCACGAGCTAACCTCGTGTCCACGTACTCAGCTTGTGCCAATGTTACCATTATCAATTGGGATTAAGGCTTTATTGAATTGAGTTAAATTGAATTTTTGTATATTTTGATCAGTAATTGTGGTGAGCGTGTGTCTGTTGATAGGTGTAAGCCATTTGAGAGTTTTGTGGTGGTTTTTTTTTTTGGCTGGTAGCAATTTGAGAGTCAAGAAGTAGGTAAAGACCGAAGAAAAGGCATCAGAAGCAAAATGCCAACATCGTGTATTTCGTTCTCAATATTATAAGAAACATTGCTATTTCCTTCTTAATATGAATATAACAAGTGCAGTTCCTCAATTCTTCCTAAAGGGGTTGACTGTTACAGGCAAGAAAGCACTGCCACAAAGTGGGTTTGAGCCAAACTTCGTCTTTC